TGTATAAATGTTCATTAGCTTGTACTAACATGCACTTGGGGATGTTTCTGTCAATTTGCCTATCTGACCGATCTTTTGGTTCTGAAATGGCCATTCATATAAATAGGCCCTGGCACTCCAGGCACCTATAGTTGATAGGTGATAGAACTATCAACTATAGGAGATAGTTGATAGAACACCTAGTTGAAGCCGGTTCAGGCTAGAGGGAGCATATTAAGAGATTCTTATCTGTTCGTAATCCAAACTGTAAATGTACTGATCACCAAAACTGGCAACCTGTATATTTACTGTAATTTTTCTGTTTTTAGAATAGGAACACCCTTGTGAACGAGGGAGGAGTTAGAATTTCATATATATATATATATATATATATATATATATATATGTATGTATGTATACATATATACATATGCATATACATATATATAAGCATTTGTAGTGTTGCCATCTGCCTTGATGGAAAGCTGAGTAATATTGAATCAGTCTCCCCTTAGTGTAAATAGTAATGATGCTGATGCTGTTAACAATAACAGTTAACATTTATATAGTGCTCTAAGGTTTGCAAACTGCTTTATAAGTATTACTTTGTTTTGTCCTCACAAAAACTCTGGGATGTAGGTGCTATTGCTGTCCTCATCTTAGGAAACTGAGGCACATAGAGGTCAAGTGCTTTCTCCAGGTCATATGGCTGGATTGGAACTCAAGTCTTCCTGACTCCAGGTCCAGTGCTCTGTTCACTGGGCTCCCTATCTTCAGTACGTGAATAGAATGTAATCGATTTGAATACAGAAGTTGTTGATATTTTTCTGTATATCCCCACTGCTTAGCCCTATATGTAGCATATAGTGGTCGCTTATTGTTTATTGAATTGGAAAGTGGGTAAGCTCAGCACTGGAACTTCATGGTGTGATGACTCCATTATGCTGTCTGTGAGTATTGCTGCATAAAGCCTCAGCTGCTTTAAATGACGCCATTCTCAGTGTGAAGTTACAAGCAGGTGCTGTAGCTGTATGGTCCTAACAACTTGTTTACTCTTTCTCTATATCTAAGCTTCCAATAAGTATTATTTACTAGACTTGAAGTCAGGAAGAACTGAGTTGGAATCCTGCTTCAGACACCTAGTAGTTGTGTGACCTTATGCAAACCTCTTTCTGCCTCAGTTTCCTCATATGTAAAATAAGGCTACCTACCTTCCAGGGTTGCTTTGAAATTCAAATGAGATAAGGTACGTAAAGACTTGCAAACCTTAAATTGCTATATAAATTCTAGCTATTATTATTGTAAAGTGCCCACTATGTGCAAGGCACTGTACTAGGAACTGGGGATACAAAGACCAAATGAAAACAGTCTCTGTCCTCAAGTTGCTTACCTTTTTTTTTTTTTTAGGCAGTTGGGGTTAAGTGACTTGCCCAGAGTCACACAGTTACTAAGTGTCAAGTGCTTGATCTGAGGCCAGATTTGAATTCAGGTCCTCCTGCCTTCAGGCCAGTGCTCTATCCACTGCACCACCTAGTTGCCCCATTGCTTACCTTTTACTAGAGGGATATGATACATGCCCAAATCAGTGAGTACTATACCAAGTCATTTCAAGAGGTAGAGAGTATTAGTAAATGATGCGGGCAGAAAAGGAAGACAAAAAGGATCAAGAAGGATCAGGGAAGACTTCATGAGAAAGGTTGGCACCTGAACTATATTTTGAAGGAAGGTAGTAGGCATTGTAAAAGGAGGGGAGGGTGTGTATTCCTTTACTTTTGCAAAGGGACAGTCAGGAGATGGATCCTCTTCTTATCTTCTTTCATTATGCTGACCTCATTGCTCTGTTTCAAAATTCAGTTAATCTCAGGTCACAGGGTGAGTAAAAAAAGGGCCACAAATGCTCCTGAAGTTGGGACGTTAAAAGAGCTTCTCCTGGCAGAGGAAAAGTGTGTATGAAATTCAGAGCCTGGCACCACTCCCCACTCTGGAGACAAAGAGAAGAGATCTGGCCTTCCTTTGCCAAGGAGTTTGTTTCTTCTAGGTTCTGATGGGTCCATGGATTCCTTCCTCCATCTTAACTCTTTCTGGAGGCTAAACTATCCAATTTTTTTATTGGTGGTATTAGTCTACCATTTTCCAACTCATTGACTAAATAATTTGCCAAATACAAAGAGCCATAGTGGAAAATGTGGGAAAAATTCTCTTTTTGAGGATAATCAAGAAAATTCTACTTGGCAAGGGGTATAAAACAAGGTGTGCTAGGCAAAATTGGGAGATGTGGGTTTGAGAACTAGTTCCACCATTTTACTAGCTGTTTTTGCTTAGCTAAGGAACTTAATTTCCCTTAGCCTCAGGGACCACTGGATCAGCATTTAATAAATGATTGTTGGATGGAATTGAGAGATTGCATAGTCTCCTTTGACAAAGAATTTCATCCTCAGTATTGGGAAGGTCTTTATACTTGGTGCTAGTCTGAACTCCCCATGCTGTAGCTCAAAGCTATTTTTTCTTGAAGTATCTGTGGTGGAGGATGCCGGATTTGCAGTTGGAAAGAATTGGGAATAGATTCCAAATCTGACACATTAACTATGTGATCAGGGACAAAATACTTAATCTCAGAGCCTCACTTTCCTTATCTGTAAAATGGGGGTGATAAGATCTATTGTACTTACCCCATGGTGTTTTTATGGGGCTCCACTGATGTAATATATGTAAAAAGCTTTGTAAATGTTAAATATATAAATGTTAGTTATTATTGTTTTGCTTTAGGAAAGATGGGGAACAGATGGTGCCTATGCTACTGGGGAAAGGAGTGTTTGAATAAATATGATGTATGCTATCCTAATCCTATTTAACACAAACGTCCAGTTATCAATTCTACTAGTCAGGATTTCTTTTTTCTAAGCTGAATGCCCATTAGGGCTTTTAGAATAAATATGTGATCTAGGTGCTATAATCCAGCAGTCACTGAGGCAATCTAGTCTAAGTCACTTATGCTTTAGGAGGCCTTACCCAAGGTTACATTGGTAGAAAGTTTAGAGATAGTATTTGAACTCAGGGCCTCTGACTCCAGACCTCCAGCTCTTTCTATTGTAATATACCGACTTGTGTTTCAATAATCACCTTAAGAAACCCCTTGAAACACTCACTCTTTTCCCAACTGAGATGATGGTGGTAAACAAGAAAATAGCAATCCGAGTGGTAAAATAATGTTTTATTCCATGGATGAACAAACACTACCATGCCACGTCCTAACTTCTCTCCTACCACATCTCATGGCCAGAGCCAGGTTCCCCTTCCAGATCAGGTTGGCTTTGCTGACAGTCGAGCCCATTGGAGTAGCAAAAGCATGAACACATAGCATTCTGATTGGTCCTGTTTGTCAGTGGGTTGATCTCTTCACAAAATGGTGGTGCGTGTCACCTTCCTTTGTTTAGAAAACAAAAAACAAAAATAAAAAACGAACAGAAAATCCCATGAAGGTCTTCCAAGTTGACCTAACTACAGCTGACAGCCAAAGCTTAAAGGTGAAACTGAAATCCCCAACCACTGAAAAGCATCATGGATATGTCTTCACTGCTGTCAGATGTCGAGGTCACCCACAGGACAACTGCAAGCCAAAGAAATTGGTACTGACATTCAGGCTGTCAACACGTGAGAAAGGAAATGACAGGAATTGATATATTTCCAACTAGCATTTCTAAAGAGTTCAGATCAGCCAAAGAGTGTTAGCATGCACGCTGAACACAAGATTAATATCGCCAGGGGGCTGAGTAGGGCAGGGAGACTCCACGAATGACTGACATACATTCCTTTATATACAACAAAATGAAATATACACTATGGATATTGGCTGTACATTTGGTCAGAGTATATCTTACAAGGCTAACGTAGAGAGCAACATCAACCTTACCACTCAAAGGGGAGGGCAACAGAATAATTCCCAGGAAATGACGTCCAATTCTGACATGTTCTTACACATTTGTTTTTTCTCTTCAGGTTTGTCTTCTGCAAGGGTTACTGTGACTTGAGCATACTTAATAAGACTGGAGAGGATGGGAACAGAGCCCTGTCATTTTTACCAAATGTGATACTGACAGACGAGACCACTTAGGGAGAAATGGGACTTGACGGTTTTAGTTCCTGGAATGGAATGGAAATGGACAGTGGCAAATCTAAACCCAAACCTAAATCAAGCTCTGTGGGAAAGCAGCCTCTTGCAAACGAACGTGCGCGGGGTGTCTTCCGTCCCTCAGCTTTCGGAAAAGGCTCCACAATGTGTCTGACTCACGACCTTAAAGACAAAGTAGTTAGTTTAGGTGTTTCCGAACAAGGTGAAAGCCTGCAGATGTACAGAGATAAAAAGCAAAGCAAACTCAAAGAACTCCATGACAACAGAGCTTCAAATAAAAACTATATAAAAATACTAATTAATTACATAAGGTTAAACATTAGCATAACTACGACGATACTTTGTACAGTCCAGAGTCTGTCTTCTTCAAAGCAGCCTGGTAGTAACACTGAATCTTCTAATGATGGCAAGGAGCAAGCAAATATGGGAATCTTTAAAATACCTTTAAAATAATTGTGCTATAATCTTTGTTGTTGGTTGTTTTTTTTTTTTTTAAATTTCCATGACAGTTTCATCGGACACAATGTGATGCTGCTGACAATGGCGCTCCAATGCAGGAGGTGGGCTTCAGTGCTGGATAGCTTGGGTTTAAAGGGCCAGTGATCTGGCCAGTGATCTTGAAGTCCTCAAGGCGGGCCTTTCCTACCATTGATCCATAAGCACTCTTCCTTGCGGTAGGGGGGGGGGGGGGGGGGGGCGGGGCACTTAATCCAGCAGTCACTCTGTGGCCGAGAGAAGGTGATGCCTTGAAGCTATATTTGTTCCAGACAGCAGTCTCTGTCGGATCCGTCATGCGTGATGTCCGTCTTCCTGGGAAGGAGCTTGCTGCTGAGACAGAGCAGGAAGGCAGCCTTCAGTTCTGTGACACACATGCTAACATAACATTTCTTTCCCCAGCTCCTCCCCTGGGGGAATGGCAAGGGGAGGGGGCGGGAGGGAGGACACTTCGCAGTTGCATATTGTTAGATAGAAAGAACCACTTTTGTGCTCGGTGGGGGCACACTTAGTCCTCCTCCTCTTCTTCTTTCATTGTGACTGTGGGCAGTTTGTCCTGAATCCTGAAACACTCCACAAAGAAGTTGATGATGGATTGGTAGAGGTGTTGCTCCAGGGAGGAGCTGTGAAGGTAATGGCTTTCATCTGGGTAGATCTGTAAAGGGAGGCAGGGAGAGAATGTGAGGCACAATTACCATGAGAAACTCAACATTTCCTTGAAGGGGCCCCATAAGACAGTGCCTTTGACGCCACATAAACAGGTGGTGCTGTGGATAGAATGCTACACCTGACATCAGGAAGATCTGAGTTCAAATTTCAGCTTCAGAAACTTACTAACTCTCTGGCCCTGGGCAGGTCACTTCATCTAGGACTGCCTTGGTTTCTTCATCTATAAAATGGGCATAAGAAGATTCCCTACATCCCAGTGTTGTGAGAAATAAAATGAGACATTTGTAAAGCACTTTTCAAATCTTAAAGTACTGTATAAATGCTAGCTTTTATTATTATAATTATGTAAATGAAAGACCCACTTCTTCCATGCAGCTTTCTTAGTTCAGATGAGCTCTCTGTGGATAGGGCACTGCTGGAGGGTTTGGATTAAAAATCCCACCTCTGACACCATCCATCTGACCTTGGACTTAACCTCTTTGGGCTTCAATTTCCTCATCTGTCAATTGAGGGCATTAGGTCAGTTGGCCTCTGAGGTCCTCTCCAGTTCTACTTCTATGATCAGTCAATAGTACTTAGGCAAAATAACTCTCATTTAACCAAATCACAAACTCTACGTGCCCGTGGCAACTTTCTGAGATTGTAAGTTGCAGAGAGGGTGCTGATCTGCATTGGTAGAAGTTTTCTCAGTTGGGAGTTAACTATCCTAATGTCCTTCCAAGTCTAGTCCCTATTCCTATTTAATAGAATGCCATGTTTCCTTAAAACTTTAGGAATGAATATAAGAGGGAGGTTAGTACAATTGTTATGACTTCTATTTTGTAGAGGAAGAAAGTGAGACTTAGAGGACTGTGAATGTCTCAAGATCAAACAGCTCTTAAGTGTCAAAGCCAGAGCTCAAAGGCATGTTGTCTTTCAACTGTCTCTATTTTTCTACATTGCCTCTCTGGGAGTGATTCTGTCTACGTGACTCAGTTGAAGCAATACATTTACTGAACAACTTTGTTGAATGAAATCATTACTATTCAGTTTATATTTGTTACAAAAGCATAGAATTTGGAACTGTAAGGCACAGTAAAGATAACTGGGTTTATCTTTCTATAATTTTACAGACGGAGAAACTGAGGTCTACTGAAGTTAAGTGACTTGCCTAAGGTCAATAAAAATGTAGTGAGAACTGGGATAAAGGCCAAATTATGTGACTTCCAAACTAGTATTCAATGATGAAAACAAGGACAGGTAAGAGATGTTGACTATAAAAGCATGTCATGGCCATGAAAAAAAAAAAGGTGTCAGGAATGCTAAACATTAGATGTTGCTGAGGCAGGTGAAGAAAAAGTACCAAAAAAAAAAGGATTTTTTTATAAAAGCTATATTGGGAAAAAGAGGAATATCAAAGATTTGCTGATGGGGGTAGATGGTGCAATGATAATGGTGAGAAGATAAAGCTGCTTGAGTCCTCAGCATCTGTATCCTTTGATAAGGAGAATTACCTTTGGGCTAGAAAGTTAAAGAATATCACCAACAGGGAGTTAGTACCCAAGAAGTGTTGGAAGCTGGTAGGAGAGTCCTTAGTTGTCCTTGATGAGTTTAAATTAAAGAATGATCTTAAACCAAAGAGTCAGATCTTGGGAATAAAAGAGTAAATCTAAGCTGATTTATTATCACCTTTTTTAGTGTATTAAGGCTGTCTAATGAAGACTATCAATCCTTAATCATTATTTGTCCAATCATATCATTGCTAAAAGAAAACTAAGAGCCAGAAACTTAAAAATACAAAACAAAACCTTATCAGTTCTTGAGATGATAGGATTTAGTCCTGAAAGAGCTGATCCAGTCCAACTCCTTTCTTCTACTGTTGAGGGAACTTAAATCCAATAGATGTAAAGGGATTTGCCCAAGGTCACGTAGTAAGTGAGTCAAGTTACTAAGCATTTAAACCCAATTCCTAGTCTAGTGGCCAAAATTTAGATCAAATGGTGACCTATCAGCTGTACTGTTTCATTTATATTTACAGAAATTGAATCCAACCCATCAAATACTATTAAACCCCCCCACTAACATGGGGGGCTTAATATAATATGTGATAGATACTGGAGATATAAAAAATGAAATAAAAGATAAATCTTGCCCTGATTGGATTGTGTGTGTATATATATACACACACACACACCTTATATCTATCTATATCCCTTATATCTATACACATACATGTGTATGTGTGTATGACATATACACGGATAATGGGGACACTAGGCAACTTGGGCTAATGCAGTATGCCCATCCACATGGAGGCTTGTTGAGCCTGCTTCTGAAAATGAGTGCTGGAGGGGCCCTTCCCCTCTCTGATTCAGAGCATGGACAGATATCTTATCCTTTTGGCTTACTGCATAGTAATGGAAGACCTTAAACTGATTGTTAAGATAGAACTGAGTGTACCTCCAAAAGGCTTGCCCAACCTCTTCTTGGCTGCTTTTTTAGTGAGGAAGAAGAAGAAATGCTATGAGCTTCCTGGTGAGGGGAGTTTCATGATCTTATGGTGGCCTGAGGGGGAACATAAGGCAGCTGCAGAAACATCTGCTGCTGCTACCACTACCTTTCCCCACCCAGATCACCACTGGCCTTGAATACAAGGTAGTAACCTGGCCTGTTCCATTTCTGTGTCTGATGCACATTTGCCTAAGATCAAGAAAGAACACATTCAACAAAGGTGGTACCCATGTGTACCCAGTCATAGTGGCTTAGGGGAGAGGAGGTGAAGGTAGCAGCAGGTGCTGCTGGGGCTCCCTTATCTCTCCACCTATGCTGCCACATGGCCGTGAACCTCTTATGACCTGGAGACTCATAGCATTTCTTTTTCCTTTTTACTGGAAAGCTACCAGGGTAGAGAAAGTGATGTCATCTGTTCGAATCTTTTGTATGGCTAATTAGTTCTGACTCAGCATCCAATTAAAGGTCTATTCATCACTAAGCAGTAAACCATTAAGATACTTGCACATGCTCTAAATCCTTCTGGACGCAGGCTCACTAAGCCTCTATGTGGACATGCCATGGGTAGATCATAGTGAACATAATCCTAGTTACTGGGCCCTCACTGGCCAGTTCCTCATCATACATAAATATTTTTTAAACAATCAACAAGTGTTTATTAAGCAGCAGACACTCACCCAGGCACTCACCTAGTGCCGGGGGTACAAAGACAAATATTAAATAGTTCCTGACCTCAAGGAGTAGTACAAAAAAAGTGCTGTGGAAAAAATGAGAGGAGGAAAAGATACTTTCTAGTTTAGTGGAGGGTGGCACTGGCAGAAGGGGTACAATAAATAGGCATGGACAGGATGTGAGCAATGGCATCAAAACAGGAAAGGGGGAGGGGACAATGGCAGATCATGATGAGTTCTGTTTGGCTGGAATGAAGAATATATGAAAAAAGGGCAGTTAGGTGGTGCAGTGGATAGCACACCGGCCCTGGAGTTAGGAGGACCAGAGTTCAAATCCGGTCTCATACCAGACACTTGTTACTTACTAACTGTGTGATCCTAGGCAAGTCACTTAACCCCAATTGCCTCATATAAAAAAAAAAAGAAAAAAAAGAATATATGAAAAAGAGTAGTATGAGATAAGTCTGGAAAGGCAGGTTGAACTTAGACTGGACAGAACCAAAGCCAAGGTGACCCAAAGAGGAAAATTTTTTTGGCCAGATGATTATAGCTGTCTAGGCAAAAGATGGTAACATGGAGGCAATGTGAGTGCAGAAGCAAAAAGAGAAGACGGAACAGGAGAAGAGAGAGATGTGAAATGTCCTAGTTGGATAATCAATAGGAATTAGTGACAGATTGGACATGAAAGGTAAGGGAAGTTGGGGTGACTGAGCTAGTTGTTCAGGGTACCATTTATAGAAACTGGCAAAGTGTTTTTTAGGAGGGAGATGATCTTGGATTAGGATGTGGATGTGTAGAATTTGATACCCTGGCAGAACATCTTGGTGGAAAGATTCGGCAGAAAAATGGAGATGTGAGACTGGGGCTCAGGAAAGCAGATTAAGGTAAAGTAGATGGCTTTGCTTCCAGAATACGCAATAGGCATTCCTACACCATGAATTCTAATGGCTCTCTATTGCATCAAATAAAAAATCTTCTGTTTGGCATTCAAAGCCCTTCATAACCTAGCCCCCTCCTACCTTTCCAGTCTTCTTACATTTTACTCCCCACCATGTACTCTTCAATCCAGTGACACTGTCCTCCTGGCTGTTCCTCCAAGACATTCCATCTCTTGGCTCTGGGCATTTTCTCTGGCTGTCTCCCATGCCTGGAATGCCCTCCCTCTGCATAGCCATATCCCGGCTTCCTTTAAGTCCCAACTAAAATACCTTCTTCTTCAGGAAGTGTTTTCCAACCCCTCTTAATTCTAATGCCTTTCCTCTTCGAATGAACTCTTGCTTATCTTGTATCTATAGGTCTTTTGTAGGTATTTGTTTGATTATTGTCTCCCACAATTGACTGTGAACTCCTCAAGGGCAGGGGATGTCTTTTACCTCTTTTTGTATCCACAATGCTTAGTACAGTGCCTAGCTAGCATATGATAGGTCTTTAATAAATGTTTATTGACTGACTGACCCTACTCAGAAATCCTAGGGTGCCTAGACCTCAGCTCCTCCTCCCCTCAATCTAAATTTGATAAAATATAAGTGAGTAAAGTTTTATCCTATGGGCCACTAAAACAAAGTCCCAATTGCTCTCACCCCTTCCATAGAATAGCTCAACCTATAGTGGTCACTGTTTTGATATTGATCTATCCTGTTCATTATGGGGTCAGTGGTACAGGACGTCTTTATTCATGATTCATCTGGTACATTCCCTCCCCTCCCCTCCCCCACCATGAGCAGAAAGGGTAAATCTAATTCAAATTAGTAAGCATGTATTAAGTACTTACCTCATGCAAAGCACTATGCTAGGTGCTGATAATATATACAAAGACAAAAACTAAAGAGTCTCTGCTCTCTAGTCATTCATAGGGCATACACACTTGGAAGTAAATACAAGATAACTTTTTTTGTGGTTCCTGGGGAGAGGGCTGAGAACTGAGGAAACCTGGGAAGGCTGCTTTAGGGGGCATCACCTAAGCAAGTCTTTCTATGACCTCCACAGAATTGGAGCTGTCCAAAACTGGAACAGACTGAGGTAGGAAGAAGTCAATTACTCCTCACTAGAAGCCTTCAAGCTGAGGCTACAGAATTCCCTGTTAGGGATATTGTAAGAAATATTTCCGTTCAAATATGCATTGGATTCAATGACTGAATTAGAAGACTGAAGTCCCTTCCAACTCTGAGATTCTGTGGGTGCTAATACAGCACCTGGATGCTTATTTGGAACTGTTTACCTGTCATACCTGAGTCACATGCATTTAACAGGTACAGGGAAGCACTGGGTCTGGGCTGAGATTCTATCTCTGATGCTTACTACCTTTGGCAAGTCACTAAACCCCCCTAGGGTTTAGTCCTCTCATCTGTAAAAGGAAGGGAATGAATTAGGTGACTTCTAAAGTTCCTTTCAACTCTGTGACAGAAATACATACACAAACACAGTTGTGTTTTGCAGAAATGAGAACTGATAGTAAAAATCCATGTTTTCTGCACACAACATTTTCCCAAGGGTGTCCCATATTTCAACCAATAAATCAGTGAAAGCAAATGACACCCCATTGGGACGTCTGTGTGGTTGATGAAAGGGAATAAGTTACACCTGGTGGAATCTGGCATTATGACAACAGAGCAGTCTAATGGTACAACATTTGAGTGCTTCAGAGGGAATCATTGTGTGTGGGGGGAAGAGTCAGAAGTCTTAGACTTCCCATCTGGGATAGTAGCAGTGGCCCAGGGCAGAGTCTGGGGTTGAGAGGCAAGAGGACAGGTGACTTCAGGGCTTTATAACGGCATCATCATTCAGACCTCTGATGAGAGCTACATGCAGCAGAGGAGATCATGGTGAGGACTCCATAAAGGTAAAGGAGGCCTTCTTATAACCAGGGGCTTGAGTTACACCCTTTGGCCACATGTGCTTTCCACATTTGGGATCCTTCTCCCCAGTGACCTTGTACATGTGTGTGTGTGAGAGGTGGTGCTTTTGTTCTGGCTATTTTTAGTATGCCATTATAGAAAATACCCTTTGTAAAGGTAATTGAATCTGGCTGGCTGTACTCAAGGGGGAGCATACCTGCTGGGGGGCTTGTGAGTGATATAGTAATAGAGTCTTCCACCCCTCAGGTTGTCCCTGGGATGCCAAGGGAAGAAATCGTTAGCTGCCCTCCGGGGACCCAGCTAGCCAGCACGAGTGAAGGCGGGGAGGAGACTGAGCCCAGTTGGGGTGCAATAACACAATTATGTTTTCTAAATGAGAAAAACAGGTCTGTTCACATATACCATACCTGCAAGCTGTAATTAGCCTTTCCTCTAATTAGATGTGCAATGAGCTCTGCTGTATGTTGGAAATGGATTTTTTCTGCAGGGGGGAAAAAAGGAAGTGTGTATCAGAAGCCACAATCACCATTAAAACCGAACTTATTCCCAGGTAAATGGTGCAATCATTGCTCAGGTTACTTACCATCGGCAGTTGCATGGATGATCAAGAACTGCTGTTCTTCCAGGGATGACACTCGATGGGCTAATCTGGTCATCTGGAAGGAAGCACAGACCAAGGATGTGAGTTTAATAATTTTTATTTATTTATTTATTTATTTTGGTGAGACAATCGGGATTAAGTGACTTGCCCAGGGTCACACAGCTAGTAAGTGTCAAGTGTCTGAGGCCAGATTTGAACTCAGGTCCTCCTGACTCCAAAGCTAGAGCTTTACCCACTGCACCATCTAGCTGCCCCTAGTTAGTCATTTTTAACATGAGGAACAAAGTGGTTTGTTTTTTTTTTTTTGAATGCATATACAAGATGTCCTCAAAGTCGTTAAGCTATCAAAGCTCAAAACTGCACTAAGACTTTTAGAACTCCCTGTATGAAACCTGCAGCATCTCTAGAAGACGGGCTCTAGTGGAAGCATCCCATGATTCAGAGCTTCCCTTTGCTGACTCTTGCCTTTGCTCACCAGACCAAAAAGAATAAAAAGTTCCTGCTCTCCCTTACTACGAAGTGCCACCATTTCAGCCAATGAACACTAGCTGGTTCCATGTCTGGGAGGTGGGTTTAACGATTCAGGTACAAACTTGTGCCCCTGTGGTTGATAATTAGGAAACTCCCACCCTGTAACAGGCTGCCCTGATCCAGGTATCTTAACCTGAAAATAGTTTAAGAAAGTAGGTTACCAGCTATTCCAGAGCTGGGAGTGATCGGTCATACAGTCCAGCCCTATGATTGTCCAGATGTGGGATCTTGGGAACAGAACAGTCAGGGGACTCTCCTGAGGTGACCCAGCTAAGTCAAGTGGTAGAGCTGCGATCTAAGTCCGAGTCTTCCTGACTTTAGCCCAGCACTCTTCCATGGGGCCTCCCCATCCCTTCTATTTGTTTTACTTTTACAGTTGACAAAGCTCTTTTATATACAGGATTTCCATCGAGTCTCACAACAGCCTGGGAAGGAGAGGATGAAACTGAGGTTCGTGGAAGTGGGGTCTTGTCCAAGGTCATAAGGCTTGTAAGGGATGGAGCTGGGACTAGAACCTAGGTCTCTTGATTCCTGGCCGAGGGCGTGTTCTATCGTGCCACCCCAGCCTTTCATAGCAACTGATGCTTCACTAGGACACTAACCAGAGAGGCAGGAAATAGCTTTTTTTGTTGAATCCAAATGCACTATTAGGAAGATTCTTAGGTAATACGATTTCAGGGGACTGACTTAGGACAGATCCCTGTGCCAAAACACCAGGCTTATAAGCCTAGTGATATTAGCAGTCCCCTTTATTTTATTTTTCAAAAAAAAAATGATCGATCCTATGCTTTTACATCACCTTCATTTCCATTTCCAAGGGAACCTCCTGTTCCCTTATTCAGAGAACCATCCTTTATAACAAAAGTTAAAGAGAAAAATAGTTCAGCAAAACCAACATATCAACTACATCTAATAGCATATGCAATATTCCATACTCTCCCTGTCTTCTTTCACCTGGCAAAGAAGAAAGGGTGCATTTCTTTAATGCTTTTTTGGATTCCCTTTAGCAGGAGACAAACCTAGCTCTTATTCTGCAATGGAATGCAAAGGCTCATGGGAGAGGCAATAAGGTCACTAGGTACCTGAAAGAAAAAATGGGGGACCCTAGGGAATTGAGGGTGAGGAGCTGGAGGGGCACAGAAAGATGATGCCTTCTGTATGTACTGAAGGGAAATATCTCAGACTGGGCAGTTGTTGTGAGGATCACTCTGTCCAAACCTACCTCATAAGCTCTGTTGTCAATTCCAAGGAGGCCCAAATATCTTTCAGAAAATGCAGAAGCTTGGAAAGAAACCGAGGCAAACATTAGTTAACTATCCCTTAGCCTGGAAAGCAGATACCCTACCCATTCCCATTCCCAAAACAGATCTTCACCTTGATCTAGTGGACTTTTTGCTTGAATAAAGCAACATCACTGTGGTGGCGCTTGTAAAATGTGCACTTTGGAATTTTTAAAAAATAGTTAAACTTTGGTTCTTGGGCCCATATTAATGTGATTCCTGAATTAATCCCCAAAGACCTTTGCGATCCCTTCAGTTACAAGTTTTCTCCCTCCTTAAACTATCTCCTATTAAACCCATCTGTGTCCACACTGTGTCCTTCCATTAGAACGGGACTTTTCCTGAGAGCTGGGACAATATTACTTTCATTTCCAATGCTTAGCACAGACTTTGCACATAGTATTTAATAAATATATGTTAAATGAAATTATCCACAAGGGAAAAGAATCAAATAAAGATTAAATAAGTCATTGCCAGGGAGATGTTCATGGTGTTCAAGACACATGCAACTCTATCTCTAGCCATCTCCAGCTGAATTCAATTTTTTTTTTTTTTACAATTGAAGATTCATTTCCAGAATGATTCCCTTAGGCACTGCCAGTTCCTTAACCATCAAGGCAAGAGTCACTTCTCTCCATCAGGTCCTACTAATTTAGGAAAATGAATTCATATATTTTAAAAACATTTCTACAAGGTTCAAATAAAAAGGATTTTTTCAGGCAAATCCCCCCCTCCCCCTGTATCTAGGTAGGAGATCCAACCCTGGTGTCAGGAAAAAACCCTGTGCATTCTGAGTAATTCTGATTTTACTGAAGATTTAAATTAAATCTGAATGGAAGATATACTTTTGAATGGAAAAATTCAGGTATTGTAAGTTTTCAGACCCTGGCTTATTGACTAGATTAAGTGTCCATTCTGTGACAGACACAAGGCCTATAAAGACAAAATTTAAACATATAAAATAAATACAGGGTAATTTGGGGTGGGGTGAGAATAGGGAAGATCTTATTTAGAAGGTGACACCTAAGCTGAAGTTTGAAAGAAACTAGGGATGATACTAAGAGGCAGAGGTAAGGAAGTGTACTTTAGGCACAGGGGACAGACAGTATTATTACTGGGATAAGGATGTATTATTTGACAAAAACTGCCGGGAAAATTGGACAGCAGTGTGGAAGAAATTAGATGTAGACCAATACCTCACACACAGTTAATTCCATGTCTTGGGAGATGGTTCATAATAGCATAAGGAAAGTTCAGGATTGGGTGCTGTTTTGTAAAGTATGGGGGAGAGGGAGAAAAAGTCAGCCTGTACTTGTATTATTCAAATACTTCACGTTCTGCCCCCCAAAACCAACTTTTCAACTTTCTTCCTCCTTCCTCAGAAAATACCCAAGTATATTCTATAACCTCAACCCCATGCAGGCCCTCCAGAGATCTAGGGCCATGATGAAGGAAAGGAATGGCAGTGAGAGTGTGGGTACAAAGACTTGCTCCCTTCCCTTCTCCAGCTAAGTTTGAGTACTCTTGTTCACCAGAGAGTAATTGTCTCTGTTTTATGTCCAGCTCCTACAAAATGTAAATGGGATTTCTGGTTACGAAGGCCAGCGAACAGTTGTTCTGTGCTAGGCACTGTGCTATACCCTGGGAATACAGAAGCAAGAAATGGTCTCTGCCTTCAAGGAACTCACATTCTAGGCGAGGAGACAGCATGAAAACAACTCAGAGGGGATTATGTTAGCAATGAGTTGGGGGGGGGAACTGGGAAAGACCTCCTGTAGAAGGTGGGATTGGAGATGAGTCTTGAACAAAGCTAGGGAAACTAGGAGGAAGATAATAACCATCATCATTATCATCCTAGCTAACATTTATATAGCACCTAATATGAGCCAGGCAATGTGCTAAGCCCTTTACAAGTATTATTTCATTTGATCCTAACAAAAACCCTGGGAGCTAGGTGCTATTATTTTCCCCATTTTTCAGATGAGGAAACTGAGGCAAGCAGAAGTCAAGTGACTTGCCTAGCTACTAAGTTTTCTGAGACTTGATTTGAACTTGGGTCCTCCTGACTCTAAGACCAATGCTCTATCTACTGCACCACCTAACTGAGAGCGAGGAGCAAAGACTGGAAAGATAGGAAGGGGCTGGGTATTTTTGGAGACACTTCTTCCACCAGGGTACATTATAACAGAATTTTACCTGCCTTCCAGGAACTCTCAAATTGCATTTGTAATAGACTCTGAATCACTGATGACGGAGAGACAAGGATTTGAGCTGAGGGTGTACGTGGGAAGCAATGCTGCTCACAGACAGAGATCATGCCCCCCACCCCAGTTCCTCCTGGTGATAAGGGCTATTTACCATAGTATTTGAAGTCCGTTATGGGGGAGAGAGCACAGCCACAGGTGAAAACTGGACCTTGACTTTGACCTTGATTTTCCACTTTTGTTGGAAGAATGTAAGTACTCAGGTACCCACCATAATCCTAGTGTGGAAAGAAAGAAAGATAAGATATAAATGACCACAGGTTAGTAATTAAAATGGTTTCAGAATATGATGGTAACTAAGGCATGAGCACATTGTAATTATTATTATACCATATTATATTATTATTATAATATTAGCAAAGGAATACTTTCCCACTCAATTGCCCTGTGATGCAGAAGAAACATTCACATTCTCTCACCAATTCTTTGGTCTTGAATCCTGTGTTTTTACACAGGGCTAGCTTTACCTTTGACTCAATTCCATACATATTTATTAAATGCCTACTATGTGCTAGGCACTGGGGATACAAAAAATAAAAAAAGGCCCTGCCCTCAACTACCTTACATTCTCCTGAGGGTGGGGCCGTCATGTCAATAGATAACATACAAAATTTATACAAAATACAGAGCAGGTAGGGAGTGGGGAGGATAAGTGGGAGAATCCCCAAAGGTCACTTGTAGAAAGTGGTACCAGAGCTGAACCTTGGAATTGAGGTGGAGGGAGGGAAGGAGGTGGAGACTCCGTGTGGAGAACAGTGAATAAGTCAGTTTGGTTGAAGCACAGAACGTGCGAGGGGGGATTAATGTGAAATCAGTCTGGACGATAGTAATTGCCCAGAGGAGTTTTATCTTTTATCTCAAAGTATCCAGTGATTTCTGGATCTCTTAAAGGAGGGGAATGACATGGTCAGACCTCTACCTTAGGTATGTCATTTTGATAGCTGAAGAGAAGACTGTGAAATATATAAAAGCAAAACAGTCACATGCCTAAGATTAGGTCCTCATTTTTATAGCAATTTGTTACAAACTTAGTATTAACAATCAATGCAACTCATTAAATTTGATTAACTATTACGGACATTCAAACAAATGAATCTCATCATACAGTGTTATAATGTTTCAGTCACTCTCTTTATATTTCCAGCAAAACTCTTTGTTCATTCCCATTCCAGTTTCCTCTTCTATGGTTATAATTAGGGTGTTCCTTGCCTTTCTGCTTTTTTTCCCCTTTTCAATAAATGTTTGGTGATAACAAAGCCTGAAATTCTCAGATTATTCATTCTTTTGGGTTAGGTTATTGCAGGTTCCCGTTAAGATGCAAACATCACCTGGGAAAGTCATCACATTCACAAATTATCATCCATTACCACCTCAGCTAGAAATTGGTTTGTCAAGATTCATTTCATTTCCCTAGAAGACCCCAAAAGAATGGGATGTAGGATGGATCAGTTTTGATGTAGGAAGCTGTGGATGATAAAGAAAGCAAGTCCTGATGCATAGGGAGGGAAGGTTTGGGTTCAACACCATCTCAAGGGGTCCCAGGAATTCCGCCTGGAGATGCAGTGGGAAGCATGAGGGCACTGGGCAACTAGAACGAGACTGGGGACATGATAAATAGAAGGGTGCCAATGTTAAAAAGATGCCTCCTTCACCATTTTGTTTAGGGCTGGCCCTGCTACTATGTTTACATTACATTAATTTGGAATCCAGAGCTATTCCTTGTTTCAAGTGCTCCCATTTGTAATGAAATAAGATGCAGAGTCTTACCATAGAAGAAATCCTTCTAAATAAGTACTCTATCCTTCACATTCAAAGTTGACCTTGCTGAACCGGGTTCTCTGAGCTGTGTTCTCCGTGGTAACAATGGTTTGCACTGGTCTATACATTCTCTGGACTTTTTTCCCTTCTATTTAACAGCAAATCAGGATTTCTTATAGAAACCCAGTTTTGTTTTATTTTTTCCAATTTTTCAACATTTTATTTAAAGTTTTAAGTTCCAAATTCTATCTCTCCCTCCTCCCTGAGATGGTAATCAGATTATGTAAATTATATAAAGCATTTCCATATTAGTCATTTTGCACAGGAAGACTCAAAAGAAAAAAAGAAAGTGAAAAATAGCATGCTTCAATCTATATTCAATCAATATAAGTTCTTTCTCTGGAGGTGAATAGTAAGCTTCATCATTAGTCCTTTGGGATTGTCTTGGATCATTGTGTTGCTGAGAATAGTTAAGTCATTCACAGTTCTTTATTGAACAATACTGCTGTTACTATGTACAACATTCTCCTGGTTCTGTTCACTTCAGTACGCATCAATTCATGTAAGTCTTTCCAGGTTTTTCTGAAATCATCCTGCCTGTCATTTCTTATAGCACAATAATATTCCATTACAATCATATACCACACCTTGTTTAGCCATTCCCCTATTGATGGGCATCCCTTTGATCTCCAATTCTTGGACACCACATAAAGAGCTGCTATAAATATTTTTATACAAAGAAGTCCTTTTTTTTTTGGATGTCTTTGGGATACAGAACTAGCAGTGGTATTGCTGGATCAAAGGGTAGGCACAATTTTATAGCCCTTTGGGCATAGTTCCAAATTGCTCTCCAGAATGGTTGGATAGGTTCACAACTCCACCAACAGTACATTACTGTCCCAGTTCTCCCACATCCCCTCCAACATTTTCTTTTTTTTGTCATGTTAGCCACTCATGTGAGGTGGTATCTCAGAGTTATTTTAATTTGTATTTCTCTGATCAATAGTGATTTAGAGCATTTTTTTTCATATAGCTATAGATAATTTTGATTTCTTTTTCTGAAAACTGCCTGTTCATATCTTTTGACCATTTATTAACTGGGGAATGACTTGTACTTTTTTTTTTTTTGGCTAGGCAGTGGGGTTAAGTGACTTGCCCAGGGTCACACAGCTAGTGAGTGTTGTGTGTCTGAGGCCAGATTTGAACTCGGGTCCTCCTGACTCCAGGGCCAGTGTTCTATTCACTGAACCACCTAGCTGTCCCATGACTTGTACTTTTATAAATTTGACTCAGTTCTCTATATATTTGAGAAATGAGGCCTTTATCAGAGATACTTGTTACAAAATTTCTCCCCCAGTTTTCTGCTTTCCCTATAATTTTGGTTGCGTTGGTTTTGTTTGTGCAAAACCTTTTTAATTTCATATAATCCATTCTCTGGACTTCTTACAATCAGCTACAACACTGTAGCTGATTGGGGTAGGGGGGCATGGCAGGCAGAGGGGAGGCAGGTCAAGGCTCTAATTATCTGAGATAACCTACAGGGCAGAAGCTCTTCACATGCTATGCTTGACAGAGATCCATTCCTTGGTTCATTTAAAGAATTGAAATCTTCCTTCCAATCCATTCCTTCCATCTCCTACCTACTTTACACAGCAGACAAGTCAACTGGCAAATGACTATAATCATTACATATTAAAAATACTAAAATCTAGGAATACTTGAAGAACGTTTTTTGTCTGCCTGGAAAACTCCCTGTGTGGGAACTCCCTCCAGCAAACTAATACAGCTGACAGATAAATAATGAATTAACCCATGGTTAATTAACCCAAACCCAGCCTGCTTTTGTAGGCCTGCTGCTAAGAATGATTTTTGTATTTTAAAATAAATCTCAGGGGAGGTACAAGAGCTTTTAGAGAGTTGGATTTGGCCCTTAGGCAGTAGTTTGCTTGCCCCTGATTAGTAGGGAAACCCTAGGAAGCTGTTTGAGGATAAACTTATCCAGGGTTACAGAGCTACTAAGTCAGATCTTCCTGACACCAAGCTCAGCCCTCCATCCATTATGGCGCACTGTCTCTGTTCATAAAATATATGGTACAAGGAAACTCTACTTATTCTTCTTTCCTGTTTGGCACCAGACCATAAACAACAGTAGATTTATAGGAACAAGGTAATGAAGCAGCTGGTGGACCCTTCTAGCAGTAGCTGGCTTCCTCCTTTCCCCAGAGGATACAGAAGAAAAAACTAAGCAAACAACTTATCTCTTAAAAGCAAAATAATAATAATAAATCACAGGCCATCAAACTGTAGGCACTCTCAATAAATCAAAGTGAAGTTGAAATGATGAAACCATTTAATGCTCTTCCACAGAGGGATGTGCCTTGAATGGAAAACAAAACAAGACAAAACCAGAGACTCACCTTCCCAAACACAGCAACACGTGTCTTGTCAATGTAGGGTTCCTTCAACATTGTCCTACGAGGTTAAAGGGGAGAAACAGCATTCAATACTAAAGTGCAAACTACACTGTCATTTTTTTTCAGGCAAAATCCAAAGCAACTCCCACTAATGACCTAGAGAAATGGAAGCCATTCCTGAAAATGGCAGACAGCTTGCACATTTGAAGGTCAGAAGGAAAGAGCATCTCATTAACCAATTAACCTCTCAACAAGGATTTATTAAGCTCCTACTATGTGCTTATGTCAGACACACTGAGCTGAGCGCTAGGTATACAGAGATAAATTAAAAGCAAAAGATTCTCTGTCCTCAAGGGGGAAAAACAGCAGGCCCACATTTTATCAGGAGAAACAACATGTACAGACATAAGCTTAAATATATGTGAAATAAATACAAAGTTCTATTTTGGGGAAAGGCATTAGTAGCTAGTAGGGATTAGAAAAGGCCTCCCATAGGAAGTAGTGACTGACTTGAGCTCTGAAGGAATTCAGAGTAGGGGAGGTGAGGAGGGAATGTTTTCTACCTGGCATAGGGGATGACCTGTGCAAATGCAGTCTGAGATGTGGGAGATGGGATAGTGTGTATCAGGGAGAGCAAGGAGGCTAGTTTGGTGGGAACCCAGAGTGAGTGAGAGTAATATGAAATCAGTGTGAAAAGAGAATTGGAGCCGGATTGTGAAGAACTATAAATGCCAACCAGAATTGTTTACATTTCATCCTACAAGTAATACGGAGCCACGACAGTTTACCTGTGCCTTAGGGGTATCACTTCTGCAGTTGTGTGTGGTGAATGACTAGAGAAGGAAGAGATTTGAAGGAAGGAGCATCGTTAGGATGTTGTGGCAATAACCCAGGTTAAGGGTGGGATGGGTACCTGGACTAGAATGGAGGGTGGCATGAGTGGAGAGAAGGGTTTAGATGGGAGATGTTGTGGAAGTAAAATTGATAAGAATTAGATAACTGATATTAGGAGAATCTTCCTAAAAATTTGAATTATTCAAAGTTGAATATATTGCTTCAGGAAGTAGTGAGTTCCCTCTCATTGAGGGTCTTCAAGCAGAGGCTAGATTAGCACTAGTTGGGAATGTTATTCTGGGGATTCATTTCAGGAATCGGTCAGATAGATGCTGAGTTTTCTTATAACTATAGTTGCATGCGCAGAGGCCATACATCGATAAACCACCTCAGCAGATGGGCTAAACCAGTTTGAGAGTGACCCGCAGGCCTCAAACCTGTTGGTGAGTTAGGGGGATGTCTACTCCAAACATGTGAAGACTTCTCTAGGCAGAATGGGTGGATAAGAACAGTTTGCTCCAACAGCCATGAAGGCAACTGAAGCAGGCGCTGTGGAGGGTTTAGAGATTGGTCAACTATTTAAGACACCATTATCCACTGCATTCTGGCCCATTGGCAGTCATCCTGACTTTTGTCTTGCCACTGGACATTAAAGACTCAGGAAGAGAGAGTGAGGCTAACCACTTGTGCAACTCTGCCTGTCTGATAAGACTTGGATAACTTAAATCCAATTCGTGAGCAAGTCAAGACATCACTTGCGATGTCATTGGTCCTCCTTGAAAACGAAGTATAAACAAGTTGCCCATGACACCTCATACTGGCTCCAGCCACAATTCACTTTCCTCTCTGGCCATCTCACCAGCCAAAATACCCACTTCTGTGCTTTTGCCCCACCCCCACTATCTACTTCTGCAGCCATAAGCACATTAATTTTGTCGTTGCTTATTTCAACCTAATTCCCTATGGCTTCACTCATCTGTGGCTTTTCAAACCAAAATACCCTTCCCTAGTCACCATTCACTATATATACATACACACTATATATAGTGTAAATATATACATATATATATATACACACATACACACACACATATACGTACATACATATATACATAGTTTCTTCTTATTACAATGTAAGCTCCTTGGGGGAAGGGGCTGTGATTATGTTTTTTATTTTTATCCCCAGCACTTAGTACAGTACTTAGCACCTTGTAAGTACTTAATAAATGCTTTTCTTTCATTTATTTCATACTAACTCTAAAACTCTGAGTTTTTCTGATGGGATAAAGGGAATAAAGGAGAGTGAAGAGTCTAGGTTGCGACTCTGAGGTTGCAAACCTGCCTGGCTGGAAGTGTGTTGGTTCCACAAGGGAAAGAGGGACGTTAGGAAGAGGTGTGGGTTTAGCGTAGAAAGGGAAGATGACAAATATCAACAAATATCTTTTGATCATCTTCTCTGTGCAGAGTGCCAATGCTTTAAAGTCCACCTCAAATCCTGTTTCCTCCATGGAATCTTACCAATTCCCTCCATCGGCAATAACCTTCCCTTAAAACAACACTTAGTTTGGATCTCCCTAATTTGCCTGTCTCATAATATTCCATATTATAGCTATCTATTTTGTGTCATCTCCCTATTAGACTGTAGGAGTCTGGGGGATGGTGTCTTATCTGAATTTTCTATATCCCCCAGTGCCTACCTCTGAACACAGTAAGTATCTGATAATCGCTTGATGGAGGAATTAATGAATGAATGATACTGTGGTAGATACTAGGATGACACAAAGAGAATCAGTTCCTGCTCTCAAAGAAATTGTAATCTAGCTGAGTCAATAGGTCTGGCTTCTTGTCCTGACTCCTCCCAGGGCTGTGGAACTCTAGGCAAGTTACCACTTTTATGGACCTCAGTTTAATCATCTGACAGATAAAAATAATAAATGTTGGATAACTAAAATGAGATAATGGATGGTGAAAACGCTTGTTAAAAGTTAAAATGTTCCATTCAAATTTAAGCTATTATAAATATATTTAGTAAAACTTCATTAATTCTGATCATACTAATTTGGAATTGATCATTCAGAAGTGGACTGGGTGAAAATTTGTCTTTGAAATTTTCTCTGAAAAAAAAAAGGATGCTAAGTAAATGAATACCGTAAATTAGTTTTTAAGGGGGATGCTTAACTGACTTAATGAGAACTTTCAAGTAATTAAAAGTATCCTTTGCATGTATGAATTTAATGTGGAAATGATCTTTACTGTTCATTATAGTGGGCCTAGCAGAAACACCACTTAAGAACAATAACATATTGTGTACATTGGATGTTCTAAAATGTTTGTTTGTTGTTATTTAGTTGTTTTGTTTGTGTCCAGCTCTTCGTGACCCCATTTGGGGTTTTCTTGGTAAAGATACTGGAGTGATTTGCCATTTCCTTCTCCAGCTCATTTTTCAGATGAAAAAACTGAGGTGAACAGGGATAAGTGACTTGCCCAGGGTCACAGAGCCAGTAACTGTTCGAGGCTGCATTTGAACTAAGGTCTTCTTGACTCTAGGCCTGGAGCTCTATCCATTACGCCACCTAGCTACCGTCTAAAATTATTATCTTTCAATAATTCAGACTATCCTTACCCTCACTGTTTTTTAAAGTTTTATTAATGCCTTTTACAATTAATACTACATGTCATGACACCACCACCATTTCTGATTTCAGCTCCTCTTTGCCCTCCACCAGTGGACCTTCCTTTGTAACAAAGAAAAACAATTAAATAAAAATACCGAACAAAGCAACCAAGTCTGACATCTGTAACTTCCCACACCCAAAGACTCCTAAGGTTTAACCCAGAGGAGGATGGGATGCTTCACCATTTGTTTGTCAGGGCCAAGATTGCTTATTGCTTAGAGGCAGTGAGCTGGCACCTGGACCTGACGTCAGGAAGACCTGAGTTCAAATCCGGCCTCAGAACTTACTAGCTATGTGACCCTGGATAAGTCACTTAGCCTCTGCTTCAGTTTGCTCAACTGTGGAATGGGGAAAATAATAACATCTACTTTTTAGAATTGGTTCGAGGATTCAATGAGATAGTGCTTAGAACATGATAAGAGCTTAACAAATACTTGTTTCCTTCCTTCCTTATTCCACTTTAAAAAAAATACCTAACAATACCCAATATTTATAGACTGCTATAAGATTTGCAGCAGCACTTTACATATATTATGTCATTTGATCCTCACAAGAGGTAGATACTCTTATAATCCTTATTTTGCAGATGTTGAAACTGAAGCAGGGTGAGGTTAAGTGACTTGCCCAGGGTCACAAAACTGGTCCATGTCTGAGATAGGATTTGAACTTCCTGACTCTAAGTCCAGCACTGTGCCAATATTTTTGACACCCTGAGAGGAGTAATTCTTGATACCTTTGCCAAATGCAGAATTTAGGCCATCCCATCTGCATATGGGCTTTGAAACAGGATGTCTGCACTTCCAAAGACAATTAGATAACACAAACACATATACATATGTATATATATATACACATATATATGTGTGTGTGTGTGTGTATGTATATATATGCACACACACACATACATACATATATATTCATTTAGAAATTCAAACAAATAAGAAAAATAGAGTAATATACCTAAAATAGCCTAGTACCAACACACACTCTCCTCTTTTCTTTAGCAAGGATCCCTTTGTCCTGATACAGTACTTTCTTGGGAGCCACTGGAAGCCCAATGGCTATTGGAGATTCCACATGTACATACACAAACATACCTCCACATACCTTCAAAGAATGAACAGCCCTTATAAAGACACTTACGCTTCTCAAATTCACCCTGCACCAAAGAGAAAGATTCCATTCCCACTCACTCAAGTGAGATAACATAGAGGTAAAGGCCTTTACCTTTTATAAAATAAACCTTTAAAGGGCAACATGAAGGTGAGCTCTTGCCGAGACTGTTCTACTCCGTTCTGATTTCTCCAGCCTCTGACACCTGATAGTATTCATAGGCTGGACCACACCATGTTGCCCTTGGTTCTATATTCATGTGGACTCTGCTCTCATTTTTCTATATATGTAAATCTTTACTTCTCATTCAGATGACAGGTACCTTGAAGTCAGGATTTGTGCTTCATTTGTCCTTGTAGTTACCTCAACATCTAGTATGGTGCTGGGCACCAAAGCCAAGACTAGAAATGGGGAACCAGAGTACAACACGTAGGAGGGCATAGTGAGGGACCCAGCCAAAGGTTCCCTGCAGGCGCTAAAATATGAAGGGCTCAGTTGTGAAGTGTAGCAACACATGAATTTCAAATCTTTTCTAAAGTGCATGAATACCTTGACCTGGTTCTGCTGGGTACACAGTAGATGCCTAATTATGGATTATGCTCACATAATCACATACCAGGTAGGTTCTTTCTTCTCTCTAGAGAAGATCAGGGAATGGACTGGCCTAGCTTTCACAGTCACTCCTTGTCTTAGGACTGATTGTTTATGTGCAGGCATTTACCCAGCATCCATGACTGTAGATGGGTCCAAATGATTATTTCCAAGTTTCCAGATTAAAAAAAAAAAAAGGAATGATTTAGCCATTGAAATACTGAATGATTCAGCTATCTTTTCTCCACAGCCAATATTCTAGCTATTTAGAAGTACATTTGGAAACATATGGATGGTGGTTGTTAGACTTTTTTTTTCACTGCTTTTCATCTGGGTGTTTGATCTGCATGTGGATACTACCTGATAGCACGATACCACATATATTTGCTACAGAAAGTTATAGGGGTCTGTGGAAACTTTGATGCTCACGGAGCCAGTCCTGGGCTCTCTTCCACCTCACAGTAATCTTGGATTTTATTCTAGGCCCTGCTAGTGACTCAGTAGGGAGCATCAGGCCCTTGGCAGTCCTGTCATCTAATCGTCTGGGGATTTCCATTTCCTGATCCTAAAAAGAAAAAATCTAGATAATGATACTCATTTGCAAAGTGCTTTGAGATCTTCTATGAAGAGCTGTTATTTCAGTACAAAATATTGTTATTATCCTGTCGCTCTCAACTATACCCAGCTGTGCTCTCTGTAACTATATTTTTAGCTGTGTGTTCTGAAGTGAATCTAATCATTACAAACCCTGAAAGCTATTTAAAAAAAATTTGACACCAGGGTCTCAGGGTTAAAATAGTGTGTGGTTAGGGCAAACATTGCCACTAGATGGAAGAGTCTTGGCTGGAATTAATCAAGCAACAAATATTTTTGATGAATGCCTACTGAGTGGTTCACTCCATTTTAGGCACTGTGATCCTGGCTCTCAATGAGCTTGTAATCTAATTGGGGGATTTAACACAAACACACACTAAACAATTAGAGAAAGTAAGGCATATAAAATTAATTGTTAAATGGTCTGGTACAGACTCCAAATGCTGTAGGACTTTTGGAGGAAAGGCCCATAAGGATGAAGGACTCAGAGCAGGCTATACAGAGAAGATGAAGTTGAAGAGGGGCCTTAATGGATAGGGAGGAATTGGATAGGTAAATGGTGGGGAGAAGTAATATAGAGGAGGGAGATCTCTTCCCACTCATCCATCTTTCACGTAGCTGCCAAGACAGTTTCCTTAAAGTGAAGATCTGACCATTCTAAACTCTTACTCAGTAAATTGTATTGGCTCTCTATTACCCTAAGACTCAACCATCGACTCCTCTGTTTGACTTTAATGCTCTTCCTATCCTGGCTATCTCTTTCCTATCTCTCGAGGTGACTTACACATTCCTTCCCTCCACACTCCCTCTAGACTAGTCATATGGGCTTGCTGTTCTTCATGGATCACAATATTCCATGTCTCTTCTCTCTCTGACAATACGGAATAATCCATGATAAGTACATCAGAGAGGTACCATTTGATCAAAACCCAAAGGATGGGTAGGACTTCAAAGCTTAAAGAGAGGAGGAAAACCATTCCAGGCATAGGGAATAGCAAAGACACAGAGGCAGGAAAGCACAAGGCATGTTTAGAGGACATTTTAAGCCTGAGCTTGACTATGTGTGTGGGCAAGAACTTAGTGAAGGTGTGGACAGGAGCTTTTCAAGTGGGTGGAATGGAGTATTATGAAACGAGGCTGGAAAGCTAGGCTGGTGTCAGACTGCAGAAGGCCTTGAAAGCCAGGCCATAGATTTCAACATTATTCTATAAGCAACAGGGAACCACTGAAGGTTTAGGACCTGCAGAGTGACATGACCTCTGCATATGTAATATTTTGTGAAGTGAATTGTTGGAAACCTCTTATCTTCCTGATTGAATTGCAAGCTCTTTGAAAGATTTTTTTTAAACATTTATCTTCATATCTGACATAGAGTTGATAGGAGGGACTATTCAACAATTATCTGATGAACCAAATTGAAATGCACTGAATGACAGTGAAGATACTAAATGCTTATTTCTTTGGGTTACACCATATCTCAGATTGTCTGTTTCTGACTTTCTGCGTAGATAAATTTGGGATTGGGTGAATTTTTTTTTCCGCTTTTTTGGTGAAGCAATTGGAGTTAAGTGACTTGCCCAGGGTCACACAGCTAGTAAATGTCAAGTGTCTGAGGCCGAATTTGAACTCAGGTCCTCTTGACTTCAAGGCCAGAGCTCTATCCACTGTGCCGCCTAGCTGCCCCTCCTGAATGAATTCTTTCAGTAACACCTCTCCCCTGGAAAGTCGTGCCTTATGCCGTAACTTCTGCATGCCATAATATAATGAGATATACATTCTTCAAATTGAGGCTGTGTGCGCACTCACGTGTGCACATTTATGTGTGTGTGTGTGTATATGTGACTAAATGTGTATATGTGATTAATAGCCCTCTCATCTTTTCATTGCTTCTGGACATTTTTTAAAGGCTCTGTTACTCTACTGGTGTAGAGGACACCATGGGTAAATGAGAACATAATGTCCTCAGAATGGTAGGTCCTAAAAGTGTAAAAACTACACTGTGGAATCAGACACCAAAATCTATGTTTTGGGTGACTCTCTGAGCGAGGACAGAGTTGCACTGATCCATTCACACATCCCTCTTGTGACTGATGGTCTTTATGTATGAGAATGTTGGCCAGGGGCAGCAGTGCCCTCTGTAGCCAATCAGTGGAATGAATCTAGCTGAGAGAATGAAGGACCTTCATCCTAATTGGCACCATGCTAGAGCCTGCTAAGCTAATCATTACATAAAAAAAGAGAGGGCTATAGAAGCAAGATTTTTTAGGGGAAAACCAATGATATTTTACCTTGGAAGTGGCATGAGATTTGCCTACAAAATCTATGCAGGCATATTGAAAATTCATGCAAATTATATGCAAATATGCACAGCTATGTCAAGGACCCAGCTGTGGCTCCTTGGGGGGATGCCCAATCTTATGCCATTGAAATGCTTTGCCCTATTATCTTTCCCAATTCAATTCAATTCACAAGGTATTGGGCCCTCACCCCACAGCCTTCATTTGGTCTTTCTCTTCCAGGGAGCCCAGTTTTCTCTTCACTTCATGGAGGAGCTTGGTGCCTTGGAACCCGCTACCACGACCGTCAAACTTCACCACGATGGCGCCGTGACTGCTGACCATGACGGTTTCCCAGTTGACCTCAAATTTTTCAGTCACACTCTGGCTCCCTGGTGTGCCATCCCTGAAAAACAGAGCAAGGGCTGAGTGCCTATGAGACTGATGTCACCCACAAAGTCAGGGGTCTCAGGCAGCAGAGGAGTTCTGTCTAGTGGTCCTAGTGGAAAAGAATTCTGCTCACCCTCAAATAGACCCCTGATCCTTTCCCTTGTCTGCTGACCTGGTACAGGGAGATGTGTGGGTAGCAATGTGATGCCTGAATACACATGGGATTGTGAGCTAAAACTGAATATCAAGGGAATAAATAAATAATAATAATAAATAATAAATAAATTTGGTCAAATAAATTTGGCCCCGGCCAAAATGATTAAGTGGGTTACCTTTATTAAAAGATTATCTATTTAGTTAAAGAAATCTCTCCCTCTAAGTCAAGAGAAAATATGTTGTCGAGGATAGAATTCTGGACTTGGAGCAGGAAGACCTAGATTTCTTAGATACTTACTAGCTGTGTGACTTTGGACAAGTCACTTAACTTCTCTGAGCCTAGGTTTCCTCCTCTGTAAAATGGGGATGTTGAACTCAATGTTTACTACTAAGGTATTCTCTAACTCTAGAGTTATTCTTCTAAGACAAATACCTTTATCCCCCCTTCAGACCCTCAGTTTCCTCATGCTCTTTGTCTTCTTGTTCATGGTTTCTGACAGAGATATGTCCTTCTCTGTCAGCGCTCCCTACAATGCCTCCTGGACCCCACCCCAACTTGTTTTCAAGGTAACCCATACCTGTCCAATGTATTCACACAAGATGTGTTATGGCTAACAGTTTAGGGTTTCATCAACTTTAATAACAATAGTTCACTAACTTAGGGGAATGAATATCTACAATGATGGAATTCAGACATCATTTTTCCTCTGGGCCTTAGTTTTCTCATCTGTAAGATGAGTTGTACTAGGTTCTCAAAAGTGTTTAGTCTCAGGACTCCTTTACATTCTTAAAAACTACTAAGGACCCCAAAGAGTTTTAATTCATTAAAATAACCACGATAAATCCATTGATGCTAATATTGATAACATTTTTTATGAAGATTAACCATATTTTGCAAACCAAAAAAATTTAGTGAGAGGAGTGGCATTGTCATACACATTTTTTTGGTTGCAAATCTATTTAATGCCTGAATTAGTAGAAGACAACTGGATTCTTTTATCTGCTTCTGCATACAATCTGTTACAATATGTTGTTTTGATTGAAGGATATGAAGAAAATTTGGCATCATGCAGATGTGTAGTTGGGAAAGGGAAGAGTATTTAATAGACCAAGACCATCTTAGTATTCTTGCAAAAATAGTCTCAAGTGCTACTTCCTAGTATTTACTCTATTTGTGGGTCCAACACTATCCTTGCCCGCATCTCCCACCCAACTGAGAGGTGTTTGATCGCTAACTGCGAAGAAAAGCAACATGATTGACCAACTGAAGTTAAAAGTCAGGTGGCAAAAGGAGAGCTCCTCTTCTGAAGAGCAGACACTTGCCATCCATTTAAAAAAAATTCACCTGTAACAGCATTTCTTATTTGGACCTCCTTACTGAGTGTGGCAGCCAGCATACTTTTTAGATTCTGTCTAATCAAGTGCCGTTAGCTTAATGAGCTCTGATCTCTCTCAAGCACCTCCTGTAATGAAATTAAGTTCCCTCAGAGGTCATTGGGTAGCCGTGGCAGTATTTGAAACCTCGCTGGAAGGTAGCTTCAAGGACGATGGTCTTTTAAAATTATTATGATGTTTTTTTAGCAGCTAGATTGCCTCAGTTTCCCTTTCCTTTCTTCTTTGGAATGAAATCAACGATGAGAGGAGTGGGGCCAGAATTATAACTGAGCTGTGTCAGGCCCAGAGGGAAAATCTCTCTAAAAACCACTTCTGGGTTCCTCAAGAACAAGGTCCTTGTTAAGCTTGGTGGCCGAGAGCTGGGATACCCTCTTGTGGTTGGATTTGTGTTAACAGCCCTCTTGCTACCTTCTCCAGTAAGTCTAGAGGAGAAAGGGCACCCGGATGTGGCCCCACTAAACCTGGGTTTCAGTGCCAGTTCTGTGGACTCAGGCTAATCCCTTAACATTTCTGAGCTTCATTTGCCTCATCTATAAAATGAAAGGATTGGGTTAGAGCATCTCTGGATAACCTTTTCAGCTCTAGGATGCTAAGGAATGTAGGAGTTGTATTTGGAGGAAGAAGGAAGTTCCAATCCTGTCAGATACTTACTAGCTGTGTGACCTTGGACAAGTCACCTAACTTCTCTCGGCCTCAATTTCATCATTTGTAAAATGGGGCTCTTACGAAGGTTGTTAGAAGGATATAAATATATAAATAGTTACATAAATGTAGTTGTTGAGTTTTTTTCAGTTGTGTCTGACTGTTTGTGATCCCATTTGGGGTTTTCTTGGCAAAGATACTGCAATGCTTCGCCATTTCCTTTTCCAGCTCATTTTATAAATGAGGAAACTGAGGCAATCAGGGTTAAGTGACTTGTCCAAGGTCACACAGCTAGTGTCTGAGGCCAGATTTGACCTCAGGTCTTCCTGACTCCAGGCCTGGCATTTTATCCACTGTGCCACTTAGTTGCTCATATAAAGTGAGCTATGATTAAGTCTTGAGATACTGTGAATACCTTTCTAATATTGACATCAGAGGACTGGATCAATGCATGCCTTCTCTAATAATACTGCTTCCCAGTCCTGGGTTGCAGCCCACTTTAGAGTTGTCATGTGTCTGCAGAGGGATAACAAAAGAGCCTCAGAGAAAGATGGGTTCCCCGACTTGACTGGGGGCAGGGATGGGGAAGGAAAATCTTTGGGCATGGGTAGAGCAGGAAAGGAACTGGGTCCCTGACCACACCTTGGCTTCTCACGCTCTCCTACTCTTTGTCTGACTCAGGCTTTATAAGACTTTACTCCAAAGATATCAGAGCCTGGGAGTTAGTCCCTTTGTATCTTTCTACCATTGCCAAATAGCCCATGCCTGGCCTACTTGAATTCTCCCTGATTCTCCTAGCCTGAATGTAATCACTCTTTTCCGTACCCTTTAGGATACTCGAGACAGGACTAGGTTATTCTAAAAAAGGAATCACAGGACCTTAGAGTTTCAGAGACATAATTAACCACAACTGGGCCTGGGGCAAATTAAGTTGATGGGTAGAAATAGGAGAGGGGTGTAGCAACTCAGAGGACAGTCCTACCACTGAAATGGTAGGGTGTAACATAGTTACAATCCCTGAGAGAGTCTCTTGCTCCAAATGGGGCCAAAGGTGAAGGCAGGTTCCTAAAAGGTCCCAAGGAGGGACCCAGGGAACAAGCATACAAGGGAAGTTGTGCCCCTTACCACTGGAGGACCACTAAGGAAGATCAGGAACAAAGCAAAAACAGGACCCTTGGATGTTGGTTCCCTTGGGAAAAGTCCTGCTGGCCCCACACTAGTCAGAGCTCTCTCTAGTCCAGTGTCTTCAGGTCACCCATGAGGCCCAGAGAGTTTAAATGACTTTACTAGTACTCTTTCAGTACGACCTAAAAGTTTAAAGGGACATTTTTGTATGATTGTGATCATTATTATATTTGAATTTCATCATTTAAAAAACAGGTACTTTCTATTTTAATAGTTCCCTTTCAGTAGAAAAGAAAAGATGAGAAGAAATTAGCTGATAAGTTAAAAGGTTTTTTTTGACCTTTTCCCATACTTAGTTGTTAAATTACAAGGGATGTGATTTGACTGTCAGTATCGACAGAGGTGGTCTTTGAATGAAGTCCCACAGCATTCACTTCAGTAAAGGAAAATGACTTTTCTGGGAATTTGAGAAGCATTTGGAGAGGCCTTCTTTCCTTACTCCCACTGCTGGAAACACTCTGGGAGGGGGTTCCCTAACCCAGAGATCAGGGTTAAAAATCATTGGTCTGGAGAATCAGAGAAGCCATTAGCATCTGTGAGAATCATTTGAATATAAAATCACCCCCAAGGGAGGAGGAGGAAAAAGAGAGGAGGAGGAGGAGGAGGTAGTAAACCAATCCAAAATGTTAGGAAAGTGGGTTAATTCTTCATTGGAGTCCATCACTCTGTCCTTGGGGCCATGCTGTGAGCCTGCCTTCCAGGCTGAGGTTATAATAAAATCCTTTTGGAACCTCAGTAATTAAACCCTTTTGGATAATGCCCAAGGCAGACCAGGCGCATCCTGAAGTTTGTTCTCTGGGCTTACAGCAAGGTTTTGCCACTTGCTCTTGGCTGGGCAGGAGTGCTTTCTCTCTTCCCTTAAATGACTTTCCTACAAATTCTCCTTTACCTTTGACGTATTGGCACAGGCTCCCACTTAAGGGTGAGGCAGAAAAAATTGGCAGGGGGAGAGACCAAGGAGGGCTCAGCATTTTCCTTTTGTGATGACCTAGGGCCCTGGCAGAAGAGACGTCTAAATTAATGAGGAGATCATTCCTGCCACTTCCTGGCATTTTCCTGGTCATTCTTCATGCTCTTCCATAAACAGTTCACCCGTGAAAAACATAGGTCATACTTACACTACCAGGAGCAGAGGATAGTGGGCAGTATCAGTGAAGGTGGCCGGCTTTAAGATCTGCATTGGCAAGTCTAAGTGGGAACAGACAAACGTGGTAACATTTGAGCATTGACAACTGATTGATAGATAGATAATAAACACGGTTCATATTTATATAGCACTTTACAGTTGATGGAACACTGCCCTTGTAACAGTCTTGTGAGGCAGATAGTGCTTTATACCCACTCTTAAGATGAGAAAACTGTGGCTCAGAGAGGTTAAATGACTGTCCTTGACCATTGTCTCACAGCTCTTATGTCACCTTACACCCATGTCCATTCTTCTTTCTGTAATCCTCGGTCATTGTGCTCAGTGTGGAACAAGGGGTGCTGTTTGGTTGAGTGCATCAGTCCATGGTGCCTTGGAAGAGGATTTAACTTCAGAGGGGACTTTGACTTCATCCATCCATCCATCCATCCATCCATCCATCCATCCATCCATCCATTCATTCAACAAATATCTATCAAGTGCCTACTACTATGAGATAACTAGGTGTCATCACAGCGGATAGGTGGCCCTGGAACGAAGAAGACAAGAGTTCAAAGCTAGCCTGAGACACTTTGTCACTGAGTGACCCTGGTCAAGTCACTTAACCTCTGTCTGCCTCAGTTTCCTCATCTGTAAAATGGGGATAAGAATAGCACCCATCTCCCAGCTTTATGAGGATAAAATGAAATATTTGTAAAGTACTTTGCAAACTGTAAAGCTCTCCAGAAATTATTATCATTATTATTGCCACAAAACGACCTACTCAATAGTCCTAAAGCACATGTGACTATGCCTCCTTCTTGCTTGCAGGATAAAATGCAGAGCCTTTTGTTTGGCCTTTTAAAGCCCTTAACCTGATCCCAGCCTACTGTCACAGGCTTACGTCACAGCATTCTTTCACTGATACTGTTATTCCAGCCAAGCTAACCTTGCCGTTTTCTGTACGTGGCCTTCCATCTTCCATCTCTTAGCTGGGCTTGTCTTAAGAACCTCCTCCTTCAGGAATATCAGTGTGTATCTCTCCCTCCCCCTGCCCCCCAACAATGACTTTGTATGCATTTTACATATATTTTATATTCAATTTTCTGGGTATACATTGCTTTCCCCATCTCCTGTCCCCATGCATCTGCACTGGCCATTCCTCCTTCCTGGAATGCTCTCTCTCTTCACATGTCTGCCTCTGAGAATCCTTGGTTTCCTGCTCAAAGCCTAGCTTCTACCAGGAAGTCTTTCCAGGCCCCTTTAACCTTTCCCTCATTTACACTAATATAAAATATCATATCTTATGTGTCTCTATTTATTTACTTATTGTCTCCCTCATCAGAATGTAAGCTCCTCAATATTTGGGAGGTCGTTTTTTTGTTTGTTTTTAAGAGGATGGCAAGGCTCATGGGTCCTTAGGTTACATTAGTAGATCAGATGACAATGCTGGAGGCTTTGGATGTTGTAGAGATAAGGTACTTGGAAAGACCTGGAGTACCTTAAGAGGTGGGGGCAGGACAGATGGTAAGGCCTGGTGATCCTCTATCTCACTGGAATAAATAGAGTTTGTGTCTCCCATCCCCTTCAAGCTGGAGAGCAGCCTGGACAGATTCTTGGTTGCCTGGCTCTTGGACCTGCTGCATCTTGGATAGGTTCTGGGCAGCAGCCCAGGGCTAGGGGGGAGGAGGTAAGGTAAGAGGACATAGGTGCTCCCAGGGGTGGTTGGATATTCCTGCTTCTGGACCCTCCCATATGGATTCTGGGCCACAGCAGCAATGGGAATAGAGAGGAGAGACAGATGAGAAATATTGCAGTGGTAGAATTTTTAAGATTTGACTGAAGTGGGGTGGTGTCAGAGGGAGATGGCAGAGAGATAAGAATTAAGGATCATGACAAAAATTTTGAGCAACGAAAACTAGGCAAATGGTAGTACTACTGAAAAAAGTGATGTCAGAAGAGAGGGCTTTTGGGGAAAGATTATACGCTCGGTTTTGAACATGTTAGGTTTGGGGGGGGTATGGGCAGGTCATCTAGATAGAGTCATACTGTAGGCAGTTGGAAGTACAGGCCAGAAGCTCAGGACAGAGGTGAAGGTCAGAGACTCACCTCTGGGAGTCATTTAGGGAGAGGCGACAGCTGCATCCTTGGGAGTGAGTGAGATTGCCAAGAAAGGGACTATGGAGAGAAGCTTAAAGAGTGCATGGTGAATCAGAGGACCCACTGATTTTATACACAGATCTGGTTATGTTACTCTTCTCAAGGTTACTCACAATCTGACGTTACCTTACCTTTCCAGGCTTCTCTTGCCTTCTTGTATTTGGCACATCCTTGGCACGTCCTTATCCCTTGAACATGCCCTGTTTATTCCTAAGTCTGTGCTTCTACTCATACGATTTTGTTCTTTTTTGCCTGAATTCCTACCCATCATTAAAACCAAACTCAAATTCCACTTTCGACATGAGGCCTTGCCTGATACCTCCATCGCTAAAGGCCTCCCTCCAACAAACTTCCTATAGCCCTTTGTTCTGTACCTGTCTAATGCACTTATCGTGTATTATTGGGAATTATAGCTCCCTGGCTTTGCATCTTAGCTCCCTACCAGGCCATCATTTCAATGAGGGCAGGATCTGTATCTTATCTAGACTTTTATATCTTCCCAAGTATCTTGCGTAGTGTTCACATTGCATTCAGTAGCTTAGCAAATGCTTGCTGAATTACATGAGATTAACCTAGTTATGGAGTCGAAGGATTGTTTAGGGAGCAAGGAGAATAACCAAGAGAGTGTGATATATAAGAAGGTAAGGCCCTGCAGCATGGTGGAAGGAGCTAAGAATTAGAAGTCAGGAGACCTAGGGAGATAAGTGTCTCAGCTGGGTCACTAGTTTATTGTTGGACCCTGGGTAACTCACTTCACTTTGCTGTTGTTTATTTCCATTATCTGTAACCTGGATATAAAAATACCTGTACTCTCAATCCCACAAGTTCATTGTGAAGATTCACTGTAAGCTCATGTATGTGGATGCACTTTAAAAGGGGAAGATGTACAAATGTGCAGTTTTATTAACAGCAGCATCACAGGCAGCGAGAAATGAAAACCCTGAGGGCTCCGTGACTCACTTTGTCACGCATTGCTTGCACAACACACAATTAAACATCTCCCCATCTCTCTAGGCAGCAGTGTCAGCGTCCCAGCTGGGAATCAGTATTTGAAGGGATTGGGGGAGAGAGAAAGAAGAAAACAGAAATCCTGGGTGAGACAGGGACAAGGAAGAGAGAGGAGGAGAGGACAAGGGGGGCGTCTGTGGACCAAAGTAAGATGGCAGTGCTAATTGCTGGATGGATATTGAGAGCCTGTCTCTCTGTGCCTGAAGGGATACTTGAAGGTGGCCTGGTTACCAGCCTCTGAAGCCCCAGCTGTGCCTTGTCACTGTCCAAGGTTTTTTGGATCTATTCCTCAAGGCTAGTGAAAACTGCCTCCATAAAAAACCAAAAAACAACAAAAACCAAAACCCCAACAAACAAACAAAAACCCCCCCAAAAACCAAAGACCAACAACAAATTTACCCACTGGGTTCTTTCTCCCCAAACAAAACTCCACAAACCTTCCTCCTTAAATCTGGCATTTGTTTACTGATGGTAAACAGAACCCAGATTACCAAAGGCTTAGCAATTAACTCAGAATTAGTGGCATTTTCAATATGATTAATATACAGGTTCACCACAGGCTAGACAGGTTTGCCTGGCAATCACTTTTTGACACAGGGTCTAATTACTTATTCCGGTTGAATACTAATGCCTTGCAAATTGGATCAATGGCCCAGGGACAAGCAGAAAGGCAGAGGATGGACTTTATCATTTAAATATCCATAAAACATGGGCTGGGCTGCTTCTGCTGCCGATAAGCCGAAGGGCAGACCTTGGAAACGGGGCCCAGTAGCCAGAAAACAGCTTTAGATTCCAGAGGAGGGTTTCTCCCTGTCTGATCAGGGCCTTGTAATGATCTAACAAAACAAAACAAATAAAAGTCGGTTGGAGGTCAGGGGAGCTCGCTGAAGCCTGTAAGGTCACTTTCAGCTAGCTGCTTGTGTTCCCTCATTCTTCTTTTGTTCTTTTCTGGAAACTTTCATGCCTCATTCTTATACCGCTGAGGCCTTGCTGGACAGTGTCTCCCTGGCCATCACGTCAGAAATGGAAAACCAGTTAGACACATCTGAGCAAGAACCAATGTAGGGGGGGAGGCCACCCCCCAAACCTCCTCTATAAAGCCAACGGTCCATGTGGTTGAGTTACTTTGGCATGAAAGAAACAAAAGATTCAGGTGGCCCACACTTCTACCAGGAAGAGAGGTTGGGACCTTGGTGAAATCACACCAAGTGTTCCAAGTCCTAGGCAGCCTCTCCAATCCCTATTCTTGTTTCTGTAATGATTGGAAGACCACCACACCTGAGGCCTAAGGACTCAGCTACAGTTGTGTCCACCTCCCTGTGGCCACTAAGGCACAGATATATCCTTTGCCTTCAATCCCTCTTTTCTTGCCCATGTTTCTCTGTGCTCTCACCACTGAGTGTCTCCTTTCAGGCCCTCCTAGACCTTCACTTATGTGACTCAAAACACACCACACTAAAAATCTTTTACTTTCTACATAACTGGCCTAACTCTGTTGTGAAAACCTCTATTAAGTCCCTAGAGTGCTAGAATACACTGGGACAGAGTCAGTTTTGGGAGTGAAATTAGGTCTCAAGTAAATGAAAACCCAAGTCAGTTTGGTTAATACTGACCAGATGTTTGTGACCATGGATGCAGTCTCAGCCTCTTTAGATGGCACGGCACTTGTCTCTTCTTCATCTGTCTTCTGGCTTCTTATTCATGGCAGACCAATTCTGCATGCCAAATTTCACATGTGCAGACAGATGGTCACTTTCATTCTTAAAACACTAAAGTCAGGGGATCTTTGGTCAACTATTTCCCTCCTCCTCTTCAGGGTCAATCATGACCCTAGAATAAGCTGTCTGGTTCACTGTGAGACTGAAAGGTTCCTGAAGAAGTCTCAAGTGAATTCCAA